AGTGCGAGGACCAGTCAAAAATAACTTTTTCAGCCCTCTGAGTACTCTATACGCACAAAAGGACCACCCAGAGGGTTGAAAAAAGTGATTTCTGACAGGTCTTTGCACTTTTGACCAGTCCTCACCCTTATGACTGGTCATCATTTATGCCCATTGTAGCATTCTTAACAACCGTGTGATTCATTTCACAACTGCTTCTCTTCACCATGGTGACAAGATAGGGCGAAAAACATAAAATGTGAGGACAGTCGTAAGTTCGAGGAGTGGTCAAAAGTGCGAGGACCAGTCAAAAATAACTTTTTCAGCCCTCTGAGTAATCCATATGCACAAAAGGATACAGCAATAGAGACGGGTGAAGGAAGGGGAAGAGAGATGGAAGAAAGAAGGAGAGAGAGGGAAGAAAGAAGAGAGGAAGAAAGGGAAGGGAAATTAGAGTAGGAGTGAGGGTAAGAGAGGAAGGAAGAGAGGAGGAGAAGGAGAAAGGAAGAGGAAGTAGGGAGGAGAAGAAGCGGGGGGGAAGAAAGTAAGAAGGAAAGAAAAGAGAGAGGTGGTAGGTTTGAGGAGAAAGATTGCTGTACAGTAAAAAAGATGAAAGGGAAGAAAGGCAACCCCAAACAAATATAAAGATATTAAGATAAAGAATGAATGGTTAAACTTTAAAGAATAAAAGAGAACAAATATGAATAAATAGCAATAATTAGAAACACGCATACAAACATACAATTTATTTTCTTTGAACAGAGTATTTGGCTGGTTCACAAATTTATACAGTGTTTAGTCATTTCAATTAAATTTACAATTTCTATATTTCCTTTTTGCCATATTTATTCCTTATCTATTTTTTAAAAAAACCAATATTACCCTTCATCCTCATCTCTAATCTTAATCCAATTCAATTTTTCCCTTCTATTCTATATTATACCCCTTCCCATTGTCATCTATTTTTATATCCATCCTCACATTGGTTAATTATGTAATATTACAGTTGTTTAATATAAATTCAACAGTTTAATATAAATCAATTAGTTATACAACTATCTTTTTTGTATATTAATCAATATGAACATGAATATTCCAATTATTTCCATGCAATCCAATTTCTTACAAATCAATTAATTGTATTTACCAATAATAATAAACCAAATAATTTCTCCCATATATTCCTCCAAACCACAACTTAACCGTTTCTGCTTTCAACACAATATGCAATTAATAGTATCTCAATTATTACAATTCCCTAGTTAAATAAACTTTTTTTCTTTTGTGTTTTATTCTTGAACTCTCCTCTTTTTCCCTAAATTTCTCATTGTTTGCACCTACCTTTTTGGTGGTGAAAAAGAAAACAAATCTGCCTGCCTAATTTTCTAATGTTGCAGCAACAGCAAAGTCAACAGCCTGCTTTACTTTCAGTTTCATTTTTCAGCATAGCTAGGGGGAAAAAAAATCAGCTCAGCACTCTTTGCAAGCAAGCAGCAGAGCTCTCCACAAAACAGCTGAGAGCAAATCAGCTGAGAGTCGGGAGGCCGATCTAATCAATGGGCTAATTAGCCTATGCTGAAGCTCCGCGGGCCAATAAAATTACAAAAAAACACCGAACCGTTTGTTAAATTGCTGGCTCGCCTGCCCCTCGCCCACCATTATTTATTGGCAATAAATAGTGGTGCGAAGGGGCGGGGCGAGCCAGCAATTTAATAAATGGTTCGGCCGAACCACCTAGAACCGGCAAAATCCCACCACTGCTTTAGCCTCCAGTCCCCTAATCATCTTTGGTCCCCTAATCATTTCAAAGGCTTATCCAGAATATAGTCTGGCAAAGCAAAATGGTATGAGGTCTACTTATTCTAAATTGTGATTGTAGCCCAAAATAGGAAGAACACACAAGACATTTAGGCAATATATGCAGCAAAACGTATAAACTCAGAATCATAAACCTAGAATGCATAAAACTCAGAATCAACCTAACTAAAAGTCATCTGTAGTACTGAAAATTAAACTACCTAGAAACTGTAACAAGAAATTGAAGATTAAATATGAATCAGAGAAGCTGAATGCCATCCAGCATTCCTCTCTCCCAAAGTAAGCTATTTTCTAGATGAATTGCATATTTCAGCCAGTTTGTACTGCATTATTCCACTTGGGCTCAGATCCTGATTTGAAAACAGAAGCCAAACAAACAGGAACAGATTTTTTTCCCCTCATGCCATCTCTCTGCTGAACACCTAATCCTCAAGTGCTGTCTAATGTCTATGTGTATTTACCATGTAGTATGGGTTTAGTATTTTATTTATCATCTTTTTTACCTCCCCCTTTATTGGTATTATTATGATAGCAATAGCAATTATACTTAGATTTATATACCACTTCACAGTGCTTTACAGCCCTCTGTAAGTGGTTTACAGAGTCAGGCAGTCCACATATTGCCCCCAGCAATGTGGGTCCTCATTTTACCAACCTCTGAAGGATGGAAGGCTGAGTCAACCTTGAGCCGGTGAGAATCAAACTGCCAAACTATAATTATGATAACTATCCTTACTCTGCTGTTTTGCATGTATACTGAGAACTTCAGCACCAGAGACAAATTCCTTGTGTGTCTAATCACTCTTGACCAAATAAAGAATTTGATTCAATAAAGGGCATTCCAAGACTGTAAAGACACCCTTGTTTCAGCAGCAATAGCTACCACTGCTGTAAGATGACAAGGGTTATCAGGATGTACGGAGCTTCCCCAAAGGACAAGCAAAAGCAGGCTTGCTTAAAAACTTGCACTGAGCTTAGCTTGGAGCTCAGCAAGAACTCTGCTTGAAGATAATCACTAACCAAGTAACCTGGCAACAGTTGGGCCTCACATTAATATTTAAAAAGCCAGCAATGATAACTGTAAGTAAACCAAAGGTCAAGGGTGTGGTTACCTGATCTAGCTGGCTAATTGTGATTGAGATGGTAACATTAGCCCTATCCAGAATAAACTGTACTAATACAGGATAATGGGAGGGAAAGGGCTTAAAGACCTGCATTGGGGAAATCCTGAAACCTATATATAATCTGAAAAACTTTTCACTTACAACATTTGTATGATTCCAGACGTTCTCAGACTGGCTTCATCCGCAGACACAAAGGAGACTGGGGTTTATGAATTTGTATTGCACTTCAGTGGGAGAATGCCTGATGGTTGCTACAAAGGCAAAATCTCAACCCCCTTGTTCCCAATCATCACACTTTTGACACCAAATGGTAGAGAAAAAAATAGTTCATTTAGATTGGAGACCAATGCATAATTCCATTGAAGCACAAATTGGTTTATTTCAGTTCAGTACAGAAGCGAAAGATAAACCCAGTGTGGAAGCAATCTTCCCATTATATACATATATGTGGGACTGGAGACAGGAGCAAGGCTATTGATTAGAATTTCAGTGTTTCTCAACCCTGTCAAATTTAAGATGGGTGGACTTCAACTCCCAGAATTTCCCAGCTAGCATGCATTCACACTTCCTAAAGAGCTTGAGAAACACTGAAATAAATGCAGCACACCTTGTGTTTAGTGAGGTCAGTGAAGTAGTTAGGGTAGAATTATGAAGTAAAAGGGACGTGTTACTAAGACAATGGAACTTCTGACAAAACAAAAGGGCAATGTTCTAGGAACGTAACTTTCTTTCTAAAGTGTTAATTTTATCTTATCCTATCCTTGTTTCCCAGAGCCTAGGTTCATCTCCCAGTATATGTTCTCAGCTTATCAGCGTTTCTGGACCTACTAAATGTTACATGCATGGTAGTTTAAAAGACCAAAGTGGCAGAACATAATGAAATTATGAGGAGGACACACTATGGAGAAAGTGAAGGAAGAATCACATGAATCACCCCTATTCCCTATTTGCACCTAACCATGGTATATACATGCTCTGGTAAAATCTGCTATATTTGCCTGCCATTGTCTTAATCTCATCTAAACCAGTGTTCCCCTTTTAAATGTTAACATGCAACAATTGTAGGACGTTCAAAATTTTTTGGGTTGCCAGGTTGAAACAGAAGCTTTTACTGATCTTTCCAGGCTGATGAAGACTTCTTTACCCCAGTCAGCCTCATTTCATGATGTTCTGCTGCTGTCCCATTAAGGAGATGGGGACAGGGGCACGTGAAACATACTATACAAGGAAACTGCTTGCTAGGAGTTGAAATAGTGCAACAGATCGAACACTGCAGTTCAATCTGCAGTTTTAAAAGAAAAAGAGAGGAAAGAAGCAAGTTGCTCTCCTTACTCCAGTATATTTTTATTTTATTTAACTCTGACCATGACAAGAGTAGAAAGAGGAGCACAGGAAAACACCTGGAGATCTGCCACATTCCTTTTACACCACAGCAACTGGCAAATGTGTCCAGTGAGGGGCGGTAAAGCTAGAATAACTGCTTTCACCCATTTATTACAGCCCCCACCGCTGCAAAATCAGCGTAGCCCCATTTGGCAGGCGGGTTACAGAAAAAGTAAGAGGCAAAATAGGGATAATCTACGAGGACAGCATGCTTAATGCCAGGAGTGCTTCCCAGCGAGTGAGATGCTGCTCGCATTGGAATTCCTCAGTGGAGAAAGCCCCATAAATCAACCGGTTGCTGCTTAGAAGTACAGTAGAGGCGAGACCAGATTAATAAGTGTACCTACACAAAGCGTTCCAATTAGTATAGAAAATTATGGGCGGGAAAGTCCCCGCGCTTTAATTATTCCTCCTCCACCCACTTTCTGCACTTGCCGCAGAAAGAGTCAAGGTGACCCCATCCCGGCCGGTGAAGGCGCCTTCTTCCCCGCCCTTTTCACGCAGGGCTAACTCCATTGCCGCATCTCATCCCTGCTCTGCCCGCCGCCTATTGGTCATCCTTCGATAGCCCCGCGTGAGCCGATGTGAAGACTTGCCTCCTCATCTTGCATAGCCCGAACAACGTGCCGCTTCGAGCTCCTCCACAGAAGGGACTACACTTCCCGGGATTCAAATCGGCGAAGTACGCCGCGGTTTAAGGCCGCGGGGCATCCCGGGAAACGTAGTTGCTGTTAGTCTCTTCCGAACGCTACTGAATTGTGGCGTTCCTTGAGCCGCGAGGGGGAGAGCGCGCGGTGGCCGTTGTTGGTAGCGGTCTGGGATGTTTCTTGCGCAGCTCTGATGGCCGGCTTTTTGATCCTGTCCTTGCTGCTGAATTGCCTGTGGTGGAGCGGTTGCGGGGCAGTGTGGAGGTGGGGCATGGGGGAGATTCAGGGGGAAGGTGAGAAAAGGGTGTCATAAGGGAAAACAAGGCAAGCATCAACTTTCCATAACCGACGTTGCGTTCCAAGACATGCTCTACAACAGAAAAAATAGGGAACACAGGGCCGGATTTTCCTATAGGCTAGGACCTCAAGATCAAGAGGGGCCTACATTCAAATTGTTAGCAAAATTAAAATTACACTTTCACTATAGGTGAAAGGGCCTCATAAGTGGAATAGCCTAGGGCCTCTTTTCATCTAAATCCGGCCCTGACGGAACATGTTAAAAAGTATTTTTTTAGTCAAAATTCCAATGTGCAATGAAAGACTTGATACTCGGTTCGGATTAATTCCTCTTCTCCCATTTTTTTCTTTTTAAAATAAAGACTGCTTTCACTGCAACTAGAAGATTATTTCGTCCCAATGTGGCGAATAAAAAGTCTGGAGAATTTCTATTTTTTTCTTATCACAGGACGAAAAGGCGCCCCTCACGGGTGACTCGTCACTTTTTCTGCCTTTAGGTCTATAGAATAGAATAGATTTTTTTATTGGCCAAGTGTGATTGGACACACAAGGAATTTGTCTTGGTGCATATGCTTTCAGTGTATATAAAAGAAAAGATACGTTCATCAAGAATCATAAGGTACAACACTTAATATAGTCATAGGGTACAAATTAGCAATCACTAAACTATCTATAAATCTTAAGGATACAAGCAACAAAATTAGTCATACAGTCATAAATGGAAGGAGATGGGTGATGGGAAAGATGAGAAGATTAATAGTAGTGCAGACTTAGTAAATAGTTTGACAGTGTTGAGAGAATTATTTGTTTAGCAGAGTGATGGCATTCGGGGAAAAACTGTTCTTGTGTCTAGTTGTTCTGATGTGCAGTACTCTATAGCGTGGTTTTGAGGGTAGGAGTTGAAACAGTTTATATCCAGGATGTGAGGAGTCTATATATTTTCACAGCCCTCTTTTTGACTCGTGCAGTATACAGGTCCTCAATGGGAGGCAGGTTGGTAGCCATTGTTTTTTCTGATTATCTTCTGAAGTCGGTGTCTGTCTTGTTGGGTTGCAGAGCCAAACCAGACAGTTATAGAGATGCAGATGACAGACTCAGTCATTTCTCTGTAGAACTGGATCAGCAGCTCCTTGGGCAGGTTGAGCTTTCCGAGTTGGCGCAGAAAGAACATTCTTTGTTGTGCTTTTTTGATGACGTTTTTGATGTTAGCTGTCCATTTTAGATCTTGGGATATGGTAGAACCTAGAAATTTGAAGGTCTCTACTGTTGATACTGGGCTGTCTAGTATAGTGATAGGTGGAAGTATGGAAGGGTTTCTCCTAAAGTCTACCATCATTTCTACGGTTTTGAGTGTGTTCAGTTCCAGATTGTTCTGATCACACCACGAGGCTAGTTGTTCAACCTTCCATCTGTATGTGGATTCATCATTGTCTTGAATGAGACCGATCACTGTTGTGTCATCTGCGAATTTCAGTAGTTTAACAGATGGATCGTTAGAGATGCAGTCATTGGTATACAGAGAGAAGTGGGGAGAGAACACAGCCTTGGGGGCACCTGTGCTAATTGTACAGGTATCTGATGCGATTCTGCTTAGTTTCACCTGCCGCTTCCTATTTGTTAGGAAGCTTATGATCCACTTGCAAGTGTGTTCAGATACTTGTAGCTGCTTTAGCTTAGTTAGAAGTGTGTCTGGAATGATGCTATTGAATGCTGAACTAAAGTCTACAAAGAGGACCCTTGCATAGGTCTTTAGAGATTCAAGATGTTGTAGGATGTAGTGCAGAGCCATATTAACAGCATCATCTGTCCATCTATTTGCTCGGTATCAATAGTGGGTTGCCTCCAGTTTGCACCGGTTCTGTAGAACCGGTAGTAAAACCGGCGGGAGGCTCCGCTCACTGACCCTGTCATCAAAATGCTTCTGCACATGCGCAGAAGCTTCTGCGCTTGTGCAGAAGAGTGTGTGTGCGCCCATTGCAAACCGGTAGTAAAGGTAAGTAGAACCCACCCCTGCTCAGTATGCAAATTGCAAGAGGTCTAACAGTGGATCTGTGATGGTTTTCAAGTGGGACAGCACTAGCTTTTCAAAGGTTTTCATGACTACAGATGTTAGAGCAATTGGTCTGTAGTTGTTCAGTTCCTTGATGGTGGGCTTTTTCGGCACTGGGATGATAGTAGAGCGTTTGAAGCAAGAAGGAACATAGCACATCTCTAGTGATTTATTGAAGATATGGGTGAAGATGGGGGCCAATTGGTCAGCACAGACTTTTAAACAAGGAGGAGTTATCTTGTCTGGGCCTGGAGCTTTTCCTGGCTTTTGTCTGCACTTCCTTTTCTATGATCACTAGGGGTTGTGAACCCAATGGGATGGGATCAGTTGTAGGAGGCTTGGCTGTTGTTGGTGTATCTGAGATGGGGATTGTGGAGATAGGAGGCGGTAGTTACCTTTCAAACCTACAGTAAAACATGTTTAGGTCATCTGCCAGTTGCTGATTTCCATCAGCCTGGGAAGGAGGTTTGCTATAGCTGGTGATATTTTTAAGAGTTTTGCACATGTTTGCTGGTTCATTTGTTGAGAACTGATTCCTTAGCTTTTCAGAATAGCTTCTTTTTGCTACTCTGATCTCCCTTGTTAATACATTTCTGGCCTGATTGTACAGCATTTCATCACCTTTTCTGTAGGCTTCCTCTTTGGAACGACGTAGCTGCTTAAGTTTAACTGTGAACCAAGGTTTGTTGTTACTGTATATTCGCAAGTTCCTGGTGGATACACATAGGTCTTCACAGAAGCTGACATGATGTTACAGTCTCTGTGTGTTCATCTAAGTCTGCAGGAGTACTTTCAAAAACATTCCAATTAGTGCAGTCAAGACAGGCCTGTAGCTTTAACTTTGCTTTCTCTGTCCAGGTCCTCACTGATTTAGTTGTTGGTTTTGTGGTTTTAAGTCTTTGCCTGTAAGCAGGTACAAGGTGAATCATGCAATGATCAGAGTGTCCCACAGCTGCTCATGGTAAGGACCAATAAGCATCTTTTAGTGTTGTGTAGCAATGGTCTAAAGTATTCTTGCCTCTAGTGGGACAATTGACATGCTGAAAGTATTTTGGTAGCTCTTTCCTTAAGTTTGCCTTGTTTAGATCTCCCAAAATAATGGCCAGTGAATCAGGGTATTTGGCTTCAACCTCCATAATTTGGTCAGCTAGAGTTTGTAATGCCTTGTTTACACAGGCTTGTGGTGGGCCATAAACAGCAATTAGAAGAAATGAGGAAAATTCATGAGGTGAATAGTATGGTTTGCAGATGATAATTAATGTCTCTAGGTTTTCGTCACAGAATTTATATATTATAGTTATATCCTGAGACCAGCTGTTGTTGATATATAAGCATAAGCCTCCTCCCTTCTTTTTACCAGATGTTTCTGCAATTCTGTCTGATCTGAAACCCTGGGATATGCAGGCTGCTATCTTCAATTGATTCATTTAACCAGGTTTCAGAGAAGCATAGGGCTTCTGAATTGTAAAAGTCAGAATTGTATCTGTTTAAAAGGACCATACATCCTTTATTCTGAAGGACAGTCCTTTATATTTCATTTTTATTTTTTACATATATATCCTTTTATATTTATGCAATTTAATTATGTTCTTTGGTTTTGCTCTTGAATTTTCCTTTGTACAACAAAGTTATAAATGTTGTTATCCTTTTGAATTTCTTTCAGGTTTGTCCTTTGTTTTTATTTTTCCAATAAAATATGCTCGCTGTGGCTTTTATGTAAAATTTTAGACTATTCTTAGCATTTTAATAAATGTGATAATAGTATTTAAACATGGCATCCATGCTTTCTTTTAAAGTTTGGGAAACCATGTTTTCCTTTGAACCAAAGCCACTTCTTTTGATGTGCAAAAAATAGCCTTTCAGGGACTTCAATCAAACAAAATCAAACCCCCAGTGGGAAACGAGGAGATGTAACATATTGTAAGAGTGTCTGGTTGTATCTTTTGTTGCTTTATGACATATGACATGTATAATTTGTTTCTGTGCCCTATTTAAAAACTTGGCAGCCCCTTAATAAAGGCTTTCTGTCTTGCCTAAAGTACTTCCCACCTACAATCAACACCCAGATATGTAGAGATTAACACAAAGATTAAGATTAGACCAACAATCAAGAAGTTAACCATACCCAAACAAGGTACTGTCAAACAAGCTAACAGTAAACAACCCAACCAAAAAAACCACCAAATCCATTCCCACCAATTGACAAGGCAGCCACTAGACTAGAATATAAAATGAGAGCAAACCTCATTCCATACTAGCACCAATGATGTTACCTAGTTTGGGTAATGAAATGTCTGCAAAAAAACAACCAAGCTCAGAGAGCATCAAGGACCCCTCATTTCAATCCTGAGCTACATATATTCTCCTATCAATATTTGTATCCCACTCCTTTTCCCTAGAGTGGCATTATTCTCCCTGATTGATTGATTGAAGACATGAGGTACTGTAGTTATTTTAGTTGTCATTGTGTGACTTTTTTGGCTCCCTGTTTTATTTCTGCATGAGATACATTTTTCTGAAGTGGAGTGATTGCTCCCTATTTTTAATAGCAGCAAAAATAAATGAATAATATTAGAGGGGAATGTGATGAATGCAGCCTTTTATCCTTGATATGCTATATCAAGGCCCAATTATTCATTTTATAAAAGCTCATGAGTTGAATATTTTGACTTCTTTAAAATTTAAATTTTTCTACTGGAGAAAGGCAAAATTGAATTGAAGATGTGACTCTGGGTGGGACCACTCAACTACTTTTTGAGGTGATTTTTCATGGCACTTGTAGATCTGGAGCAGAAAAAGACCACTACTACAAATTACTGTTTTCCAAAGTGTAAAAAGCAGAATCCAAAATTAATTTGATCAAAGAACTGGCTTAGAAAGAATGGAATACCAGTTTCTTCAATATTATTAATCTAATAATTTGTCAGCCAAATATTAGACAGCCAAATATTGAATAATCAGAATAATTCATAACTAACCATTATATGAATGATGGTGGAATGCAAGTATTAGCAGTTATTGGAAAACTTTTATTATTTTACTTCCAGGTATAGAACAAGCACCGGAAGGTATTTTATATTTTCTACAAGAACTACTGTAAGTGCTTATTGTCAAAATCCATATAAAATATATATCATAAGCAATTTCTACCTGAGTTGCCTCATTGAAACATATATTTTTGAGTGATGGGTTCAAAATAAATTGTATTGCATTATGTATTGAGGTAGTATTTGAAATTTTCTAAACAATTTTGAGGGACGTAGTGGCTCAGTGACTAAGACACTGAGCTTGTGGATCGAAAGGTCAGCAGTTCAGCAATTCAAATCCCTAGTGCCACGTAATGGGGTGAGCTCCCATTACTTGTCTCAGCTTCTGCCAACCTAGCAGTTCGAAAACATGTAAAAAATACAAGTAGAAAAATAGGGACCACCTTTGGTGGGAAGGTAACAGCATTCCGTGCGACTTTGGTGTTGAGTCATGCTGGCCACATGACCACGGAGACGTCTTCGGACAGCATTGGCTCTTTGGCTTTGAAACAGAGATGAGCACTGCCCCCTAGAGTCGGGAGCGACTAGCACATATGTGCAAGGGGAACCTTTACCTTTAAACTATTTTGCCATCTTTAGTTAAAGTTTTGAAATTTCATTGAACTATATTTACAGTGTAATACAACATATACATAATTTGGATTAAGACTCCATTTTTACATTTGCACAAACTGGCTGTTTGGGGGATAATTGCTATAGTATCAATTACAGCATACCAAACTTATTCATTTGCAGCTTACTGTACTAGTATATGAGAGTATATTAATAATTTTATATACTTATAAATATTTTTTCTGGAATATATCCATCAAGTCAGTTTAATAGAATTTTTGGCTAAACCTTCATTTCACAATTTAGAGACCAGAGTATAAATAAAAATTGTGACTTGTTTTAATGTTACATCATTACAATACTGTGGATAGTGAATGCTTTCATGATGTCAGATATTATACTGTAGAATGAATTAGTTATTTTCCAATATGTGTGTTTAATCTTGTATACCATTTTATAATAATATTTAATATGTCAAATGCACCCACTGTTGGTATATTAGTGGACAGGATCTTAGAAAACTACACAAATCAGCCACTTTTTATTAATGTGCAATTAAGCAACTACCTTCCTTTGATTTCAGTGAAACTTCAAATATGCAGAAAATGTTTATAAACACAACCCATCATTCTTCTGCAATGATCTTTCAGATAATACTGGAAATCTTACATCTTTGCCACATTGGTAAAGAAGAAAAGAATGGGGTAGTGCACCCATTCTCACCTCCTTGACCTCTCAGCAGCTTTCAGTACCATCAACCATTGTTTCCTTTTGAACTGGCTGCAAGGTTTGGAACAGCAGCACAGCGTTTGGTTTTCTTTCTAGTTGGTTAATAGGGAGCGAGAAGTCCAGTTCACAGTCACTCCTTTGTGGGATGCCATGTGGCTTGGTACTCTTGTCTACTTCTTTTTAACATCTACATGAAGCCGCTAAGTGAGATCATCTGACACTATTGGATAAGATATCATCACTATGCTGATGATACTCAGCTTTACAGCTCTATCTCTTGTGATCCAAGTGATGCTGCGACTGCCCAGTCACAGTGCCTAAAGGTTGTAGGGGCCCAGATGGGGGACAGAGGGCTTCAACTGAACCCTAGTAATATGGAGTGGGCTGTAGATTCCCGAAGCCTCAGAATTTGGAGCTTTACCATTTTTAGTTCTGGATGGGGTGGCACTATCCCAGACAGACCTGGTGCACAACTTGAGGGTTCTCCTAGACTTGTGACTCCTGCTCAATAAGCAGGTGGCAATTGTGGCTAGGAGAACCTTTGGGTAACCTAGTGTTGTGTATGATTTGCACCTGTTCCTGAACCATGGGGCCCTGCACACAATGACTCAAGCCCTGGTCATCTCTCAGTTGGAATACTGCAATACGCTCTACATGGGGCTACTCTTGAAAAATATTTGAAGCTAAAGTGGTACAGAGTGCAAAAGCATGGATAGTTCTGGAGGTCTCTTGAGTGGCATATGTGACACTGCTGCACTTGCTCCTGATTTACTTCTGGGCTCAATTCAAGGTGTTAGTCATTATCTTTAAAACCTATATGCCATAGGTTCAGGATAACTGAGGAGTTGTCTTGGCCCAATGAAATTGACCTGCCCAATTGTGCCGGCAGAAAAGGCCAACTGGGACCCCATCAGCCAAGGAATTGCAGCAGGTGGGGTTCAGGGGAAGAGCCTTTTCTGCCATGGCTCCTATCCTTTGGAGCATCTTGCCACAGGAGGTAAGATCTGCCCCCACCCATCTGGTTTTCAGGAAATGCCTTAAAACTTGACTATACCAGTTAGATGGCTAATGTAGTAACAGAGATGCCGCCACCACCTCTCCACTCTAAAACCATCATTTTTAAAAGTTTTAATCTCCTGTAATTTTCATCTATTTTAATATTTTATCATTGCTTTTGCTTCCATATGTTATTATGTTGTAAGCTGTAAGATGAGCAGTATATAGATTTTATAAACCTCATACTGCAAGATGAGAACCATATAAATTTGATAAACAACCAAATAAATAAATTTAAAACTGGAAGTTTTGCTATATGTTTGAACACCAACCAAAGTCTGGAGAATTGGAACTTGCAACTCTTTCTGTGCAGAATTCACATGTGGAAGAGTACAGAGTCCTTTTGGATTTAAAGGAGTGTGTAAATAGAAATGCATAAATCTGCATTATTGATCAGATCTTTATATTTTTTATTATTTATTTATTTAATTGGATTTATATGCCGCCCTATCTCCACAGGACTCAGGGCGGCTCACAACAATAAACAAAAACAAACAGACCGTTAAAAACAAAATCCATGATAAAATTGACAAAGAAATTCAATAAAACGCCATTAAATTCTGTTAAAAACCCCATCAGTAGGGCGGCTAGGTGAAATAGCCATGTTTTCAGCCCACGGCGGAAGAAGCAAGGTCGGGGGCCACCTGGAGCTCCAGAGGGAGTTGATTCCAAAGGGTGGGTGCACCTACAGAGAAAGCTCTCTCCCAGCCGACATTGGGTCGCCAGCCGAAATTGTCTGGCCGACGGAACTCTGAGTAGGCCCTCCCTGTCAGAGCGCACTGGGCGATGGGAAGCTGTTGCTGGCTGCAGATGGTCCACCAAATATCCCGGGCCTAAACCATGTAGGGCATTATAGGTGATCATCAGCACCTTGAATCTCACCCGGAGGGCAACCGGCAACCAATGCAGGTCTCGCAGGAGAGGTGTAACATGCGAGTCTCGGGATACTCCCATCACTACCCGTGCAGCCGCATTCTGCACCAGCTGAAGCCTCCAAGTGGTCTTCAAGGGCAGCCCCATGTAGAGAGCATTGCAGTAGTCAATACGGGAGGTGACAAGCACATGAGTGACCGTGCATAGGGCATCTCGGTCCAAATAAGGGTACAACTGGTGTACCAGGCGAACCTGAGCAAATGCCCCCCTGGTCACGGTCATAACATCATCTTCCAAATTTAACCGTGAATCCAGGAGGACGTCCAGGTTACGCGCCCTATCTACAGGAGGTAACACTTCACCCCCTATAGCCAGAGATGGAATATCTTTCGAGCCGAGATGCTGGTACCCACAGCTACTCGGTCTTGGCAGGTTGAGCCGCAGCCTGTTTCTCCCCATCCAGGTCCGTACCGCTTCCAGGCACCGGGACATCACATCGAGGGCATCACTGGGCTGGTTCGGAGTGGATATAAAAAGTTGGGTATCATCAGCATACTGATGATACCTCACCCCGAAACCACGGATGACCTCCCCCAGCGGCTTCATATAGATGTTGAACAGAAGATGAGAAAGCACCAACCCCTGGGGCACCCCACAAGTGAGGGGCCTCGGGGCCGACCTCTGTCCCCCCGCCAACACCGCCCCGAGAGGTAGGAGGAGAACCACTGTAGAACAGTGCCCCCCATCCACAACCCCTTGAGGCGTCGCAGCAGGATACTATGGTCGATGGTATCGAAAGCCGCCGAGAGATCTAATAGGACCAAGACAGAGGAATATCCCTTGTCCCGGGTCCTCCAGAGATCATCCACCACCGCGACCAATGCTGTCTCCGTACTGTATCCGGGCCTGAAACCCGACTGGTACGGATCAAGGTATTGTGTTTCCTCCAGAGCCAACAGGAACTGCCGTGCCACCACGCTCTCAACAACCTTTGCAATAAAGCAAAGGTTGGAGACAGGACGAAAGTTGTTCAAAATGGCTGAATCCAAGGCAGGTTTCTTGAGGAGGGCCTCACCACTGCCTCCTTCAAGGCGGCGGGGAAGCTACCCTCACCCAAGGATGTAGGAATCACTGGCCGGATCCAGTCACGCGTAACCTCCCGGGCTGCATAAACAAGCCAGGAGGGACACGGGTCCAGCAAACATGTAGCATTCAGCTTCCCCATGATCCTGTCCACTTCCTCAGGGGTCACAGGATCGAACTCCTCCCAAATGACAAGACCCGTCATCTCCCCCCCCCCTTCCGACCCTGCCCAGTCAGAGACCAGACCGTCCCGAATCTGAGCGATCTTGTCCACCAGATGCTGACTATACTCCTCGGCCCGCCCTTGCAAAGGGTCATCCCCCTCTCCCCGATTCAGAAGGGAGCGTGACACCCTAAACAGGGCGGCCGGGTGATTATGTGCGGATGCGATGTGGGCAGAGAAGAGTGCTTTGCCGCCTCCATCTCCACTAGATAAGACCTTGTAAAGAATCTTAACTGTGCACCATCAGATTTGGAACGGCTGGACTTCCAACAACCCTCTAGGCCTCTCCTCCGCCGCTTCATCTCCCGGAGCTCCTCAGTAAACCAAGGGGCCAACCAGGATCTGCATCGGGTTAGAGGCCGCAAAGGCACGACACGGTCAAGGGCCCCGGAGGCCACCCGTTCCCAGGCATCCACCAGAGCCTCGACGGGCGTGGGAAAGAGATAGGTATCGGCCCAAGCTCCATCTGGAACCGCTCAGGGTCCATCAGGCGCCTGGGGTGGAACCAGGTGGTCGGTCCCACATCCCAGCGGCGGGGGTTGGCATAGTGGAAGCCCAGCTGGAGGAGATAGTGATCAGTCCATGACAGGGGGTAAATGACTGGCATTCCCTCACTGAGCTCTGCACGCCATATCAACTGTATGTTTTATTGGGTATTTCTATGTTCTCTTTTCTTTATTAGATATATCTAGAATATGAAGGAACTGCATTTTCAAGATGGGATATTTCAACATTTTGTACAATTCATGACGCAACGTAAGTATTACAGAATATGTAAATACTTGTGTACAAAGAAATAGGCTGTAGAAAGAAGAATATCTACTGTTTTTTCTTTGAAAATGTAATTGTCGGAGTCTGAATCTGAGATGAAAGACGGACAGAGAGCGGGAGATTAGCTCCCTTTTTTTATAGTGTGGTGACCAAAACTGGATGCAGTACTTACTAGGGCTTTATAGAGTGGTCTGATCTTGATGGTGATGATCTTGATGGTATCCCTATGTTAATGCAATTTAGAATTGCATTGGCGTTTTTTGGCTGCCACTGCACACTGCTGGCTCATATTTAGCTGGTTGTCCACTAAGACTCCAAGATCCCTCTCACAGTCACTGCTATTAAGCCTAGTTTCATCCAGTTTATATGTGTGCTTTTGGTTTTTCTTACCTAAGTGTAGGACTTTACTTTTCTCTACATTGAATTTCATTTTGTTAGATAGGGCCCAGTGTTCAAGTCTGTCAAGATCCATCTGGATCTTGAGCCTATCTTCTAGAATGTTAGCTATTCCTGCCAGTTTAGTATCATCTGCAAATTTGGTGAGTTCCCCTTCTATTCCCTCATCTAAGTTGTTTATGAAGATATTGAAGAGTACTGGGCCTAAGATGGAACCTTGTGGCACCCCACTGCTTACTTCTCTCCATGTAGACTTAGACCCATTAAGGACTACTCGTTGAGTACAGTTTGTCAGCCAGTTGCGAATCCATCTGGTAGTGAAGCTATCCCACTTTTTTCCAGCTTACGAAGAAGTAGGTTGTAGTCTACTTTGTCGAATGCCTTGGTGAAGTCTATTATGTCCACAGTATTTCTCTGGTCTACTAATTTAGTCATTATGTTGAAGAATAAAATAAGATTGGTTTGGCATGATCTGTTTTTAATAAAGACATGATGGCTGCTAGTTATTACTTTACTCATTTCTAGGTGTTTGCAGATCTGTTTTTTTATTATCTTTTCCAGTATTAATGTTAGACTGATTAGTCTATAGTTTCCTGGGTCTGTTTTTTTTTTCTTTTTTGAAGATGGGAATCCCATCAGCTCTTTTCCAGTCCTCTGATAGTTCCCCAGTGTTCCAGGATTTTTGAAAGATGTGGTGCAGTGGTTCTGAGATGACATCTGCCAGCTCCTTTAGGACTCTGAGATGTAATCCATCAGGTCCTAGTGATTTGTATTCATCAAGATCAGACAGGTGTTCTCTTACTATTTTTGTTGTTGTTGCTTATTTTAACTTTTATTTCCAGTCTGTTTTTTACAGTTATGTTTCTGGTAGGTTGAGCTATAGTTTCTTCTTGCCTGAAGACCGATGCAAAGAATGAATTAAGCAGCTCTGCTTTCTCTCTGTTGCCTGTTACTTCCTTGCCATCTTCTCCCTTTAGTGAACCAACTGTTTCCTTGATTTTTTTCTTGTTATTTATATGTTGGAAGAAACTTTTTTTGTTACCTTTGACTTGAAGTCTTTGTTCATTCTGAACCTTTGCTTTCCTGACTTCGTCTTTGCAGATTCTGGCTATCTGCTGATATCCTGCCTTAGTTATGTGTCCCTCTTTCCATTTATTGTACTTGTCCTTTTTGTCTTTCAATTTGTCAGGGAGATCTTTGTGCAGCCATGCTGATTTCTTCTTGGATTTCTTGTTTTTCTTTGTCAGCGGTATTGCGCTGAGCTTTTGAGCTGAGCTTTTATGTTCGTATTTTTCAGAGTTTCCCAAGATTCTTGAGTTAGTTTCCCCTTTAGGATTTTCATCCAAGGAATCTTTCCCAAGTTCTACCTGAGTTTATTAAAATCAGCTCTTTTAAAATCTAAGACTCTGGTATCATTATGTTGTATTGCTTGTGTTTGCGTTATGTTGAATGTTAGTATGACATGGTCACTCTCACCCAAGGTTCCTGCAGTTTCAATTCCCTCTATCACTTCTTCTCTGTTTGTAAGTATTAAGTATGGCTGTCCCTCTAGTTCCCTTCTCTACCTTTTGGACAACAAAGTTGTCAGCTAGGTTGGTTAGGAACCTATTTGATTTTTCACTTGGTGCAGAATTAGTTTTCCAATTGATATCAGGGTAACTGAAGTCCCTTGTTACTATTGTAGTGTGTTTCCTACATATGTTTATTAGTTGGTTGGCAAAAGGATATCTATTTTTTCTGCTTGATTGGATGGCCTATAGTATACACCTATGGCTATGTCATTCTTTTTTTTCTTTTATGTTGACCCATATGCATTCTAGGAGGTTTTCATCTTTGGTTTCATGCAATTCTGTAGCAATATAGTGGTCCTTTACATGCAGTGCAACTCCACCTCCTCTTTTATGGGGTCTGGGTTTTTTTGAAGAGTTTGTATCCTAACGGTATGTTCCAGTCGTGGGTTTCGTCCCACCAAGTTTCTGTTATTCCAACTATGTCATATCTACCTTAGCTGAACTTAATAGTTCAATTTCACCCTGTTTGTTCCCCAGACTTTGTACATTTGTATATAGGCACTTGAGATCTTTATCCCTGACTCTGGGTATGGGTCCCATGTGTCCTATTTGTATTTGAGTTTGTCTTCCTTCCTATCCCTCCTTACTTTGTTATTTGTCTTGCTTTTTAGGGGTTTTTGCTTGGAATTTGGTCCTGGAGATCCTAAAGACTGGTCACCCTCCCCACTCAATTTTAGTTTAAAGCCCTCCTGATGAGTTGAGCCAGTCATTTTCTGAAAACATTCTTCCCAGTCTTTGTGAGGTGCAACCCATCCCTTGCCAAAAGCCCATCTTGGAGGTAGTACAGACCATGGTCCAGGAATCCAAAGTTTTTTGGGCAACACCAATCATTTAGCCAGTGGTTCACTTCTAGAATTCTTTGTTCTCTTACCAGATGTTGTCCTTTCATTGGCAGTACAGATGAAAAAACTACTTGTGCACCTAAATCCTTGACTTTCTTGCCTAGCTTCTCATAATCATTCAATATTGTTTTCAAGTCCTTTTTTGTGTTATTCGTCCCTACATGTAGTAGTAGAAAGGGGTAGTAGTAGTCTGTTGGTTTTATTATTTTGGCTAGGTTTCAGCCACATCTTTGATTTTAGCTCCAGGGAGACACCATACTTCTCTAGATTGACTGTCTGGTCTACACATGGCAGTTCTGTTCACTTGAGAATTGAATCTCCTATCACCAACACTTGCCTTTTTTTTCCTAGGGAGGTTTGGGGTGTTTTTCTATCTATCACAGTAGCATTTGATGGTGCTACCTTTTTTAGGGACATTTGATGGAGCTTCTTTTCTATGTGTCTGCATGTTTTCTTCTAGTGAGAATCCATGATATCGATTGCTTAGCACACATGGGGCTGCATCAGAGTGGGTTGGTTTGGAAAGAGGTTTGTGTTTTTTTTCTATGAGTGACATGTTTCCATCTGTCTTTTTCCTCTAAGGGGTCAACTCTTTTAGAAGTTGTTTGGTCATTATTATGTTCAATTTGGGCATATTCTTTTTACAAGGTTTGGGGGTTCTCATTTTGTAGGTCGAGTTTCAGAGTGGTTAGAGTTTCCGCTAGACCCTTTACTTTTTCTTCTAGTAACTTGATTAATTTACATTTGGTACATATGTAGTTTGAGTATTCTATGGGCATAAATATATACATGGAACATGTTCTCCAGATCAATTTCTTCTTCCATGAGTGGATTTACAAAAAATTGAGAGTGAAAGTGTAGAGGGTTTTACCACAGATTTTTAAAAGGGGGAAATGTCCAATTTTGAATACAGATGTTCTAACGGATCATTTAAAATTTGGGGGACTCAAGTCTAGCTAAAGTTTAAGATTCTAACATTTAAAGAATGCCCAGTTTAAGGATTTAAAGTACTGTAGTTCAAATTGTCCAATTTAAAATTGTAAGGTTCTAGCAGATCATTTAGATTGTCCAATTTAAATTTTTTTAGTGTTGAGTTGGCTTAAGTGCGAGGTTCGTTCTTAGCCTGTACTGGAATGTTCTTTGATTGTCCCTTCCTTCTTGCGATCCTTTCCTTCCCTGCTTTCTTGTGGGCTTGATTTATCTCTTACTTCTCTGCCTTTCTATGTTCCGTAATTGCTATTGTCTACTTGCTTTTGATTTTCTTTTGCCTTGTGTCCTGTGACTTGTGTCCTTGTCCCTTCCTACTTGCTTTTCTCTTGCCTCTAATGGGTATTCAGCTCTCCCTGCTTTTCTCAGTTCATGGCTCCCACCCCTTGCCTGTTGGTCTGCCACACTGCTCTGTTGCTGTTCTCAGTCACCGGTTCGCTGATCCGCTGTGCTGAAATGCTCCACCAAGACTGACAGCGTCCAGTTGCATCAATGCTTCCCTGTTGCTTTCCACACTTCTCTCAGCTGCCTCTCACTGTCAGCTCTCCACTCTGCTACGCTGCCACTGCTCCTGGCTCCTCAACCACATGGCTCACGTTTGTGCTGCTTCTCCCAGCAACAGGACCCCCCCGGATGGCCCATGGCAAGCTCGCATCTTGTCTCCTCTCCACAGCCAGTTCTCCTCCTTCTCCTCCCTGCTCCTCTCTGTCTCTCACTGGCTCACCTTTTCCTTCTCTGCCAGTCATTGCTTTGCCCTCAGTTGGCTCACCTCTCTGCCCCACGGATGGTTTTCCTCCCTGCTCCACAGCTGGGCCCGACTCGCTCACCAGATCGCTTCATTGTTCTCCACCGGTGTGTTTTGCCTCTCCGCTCACCTCACTTCAATGGGCCTCCATGCTCTCGGGTGCAGCTGGGCTTCTCGCAAGTTCACTGTGGATCATTTTCCTCCTATTTCTCCAGTCTTTCCTCTCCTTTTCCTTTCCCCACTTATTTTTCTTTCTCTATGATTTATTCTATGATTTGTCTTTCCCTCTCCACCTCTCCCCCTATCACTTACCTTACTTTAATAGCAACTTTTCTATTCTTTTATCTCCCTGCGATGTAACTATGCTTCCTCCGTTGCCGCCATCTTAAAAACCTTTTGTGTGGTTTGAGTGTGGCCTGCCATTCCTGGCATTCCTCCTGACGGTTTGAATTAGTGTAGTGCTACTGTGTGCTTATCTTGTCTTGCTGGAATTATTCTTCCCATCTGGGACTCATTATCCTGCCCTGTCGGAGTGATTGATTGCAGTCATTCTGTTTGCAGCGTTTGGAGTGAAGTATCTTCAGGTTTGTGAGAGAGCTTTTCTCCAGGCCGGAGAGTTAGTGCCAATAAAGGGACTCATGCCGGTTTTCTGGCTGTGTTGCCTTCGTGCCACGCCCCGGGTCATCACAGTAATAAAATGTTATAACTAATGTACCTGTTATTTGTTGAGGCAGAAAGAGGATGACATAGTGATCCTTTAACAGTAGTAAGAAATCTCAGAGCTAATAAGAATAATTTATTTATAGAATGGCGAGATATTTTGTAGTTCTTTTTACATTTTTATCAATCCCATTTTATAATTTACTAACTACAGTATAATAAAGATTATAAAAGTGGTATGACAGCTACCATTTCTTTTTTAAACATCTAATTCTAAACAAAGCAGCTCTAAGAAAAAGATATGAGATAGATATGAGTTACCCTACTTTTTGTAATAAACAAATTAGATGATTGTGTGCTTAAACTAATAATATGAATTTTAAGTGGGTGTATGTGTGTTTTAATTTGAGGGCCAAATTGTATATATTTGTTTTAATTGGTTTAAAATTTTATAAATTCATGTGTTTTAATGTGGCTGTACACTGCCCTGAGTCCCCTGGGAAAAGGGCGGTATAGAAATCCAATAAACTCTAAACTCTAAACTAATTGTGTAAATCAGCATGCAAATCAGGGCATTGGAGCCTTTCTTTCCTAAAGAAGCACATTTTTCTTTGTTTTTGAGATAAGTGAGCGCATTCCCCAATATTTTCAATTAATTTTCCCACTATTTGCAGACAATACAGCTAATAGTAAATATACTCAGAGATATTTAAAACAGTGGGTAATTATATTAGGAAAAAGTGCTCTAATCTAATATGTTTTTTGCAGTTATACCGGGCAGATGATTTTTTAAAATATGGTTTATTGAATAAACACAACATAATCCATTTAAATCTAGTGTAAAAGAAACAATAATTAGTTCGCACAACATATTAAACTGAAGAACCAGGTATTATATTAACATAATGAGTGAAGTTCTTTATGTGTGTTTTGTACTGTACTGCCACAAAATTGCAGAATGCTATAAAACAGTCTTACTTCCAGCATTCTGTAATTACATTAGTTACAATATTGTAATTTAGCAAACTATCAGGACAATCTTATAAGTAATTATGTATTATTCACTTAATTATGATTCTCTCTCCCCCCTTGTTTTAGGTCAAAAACAACAAAACTGTTTTGTCCAGTTCCTGGTTCTCATAGGATTCAACCAGTAGTTACAGTTCCAGTAAGTTTTCAATTATTTCAAAATATTATGAACACATATATGATTATATAACTGAGTTATGTTTTTATGATGAAACCAAAGGCTCTGAAATGAAAGAAATCAGAAGCACAGATAGAGTTATATTCATTTATTATTATGGCTGACAAAGTTCTGCTCTCCTCAAATATAAATGGCTATTGTTTGGTGACAGAGATTTTTTTGAATGTCTTTTTAAAAATCTCTGCTTTATTGAAAGAAAGCAGGTAGCAGTAGGTTATGAATGTCACCATTTCAGTGCTACAGAATTGGCAGATTCATGCTGCAAAAGAAGGGGAGGAAAACTTCACAGCTTTATTATTTGAGGTTGAAATTCTTTTTACTGATCCAGTAGAACTAGTGATGGAGGCTAGGCAACTTTTTTGGAAACAATGACAATAGTTCTACCTGAGGAGTGAACTACAGCATTTCCACTGTTGGCACAGGGAAACAGAAGTAGAAATATCCAAAATTCATTGCACAGAAACCATTGTCCTTAATAAAGAAAAAAACAGTAGCAAAGAAGATAGCATCCTGAACTAAGAAAACCTCAAACAAATTAAAATTGTTTTTGTTTAAAGTGGTTCAGTTTTTGTTTCATGATGTAATTATTGGATTGCCATTTTAACCTATCAGGCTATTTTGTCTATGATCTGTCTACTGACCATTCTGTGACTGGGTTAAAGTAGAACTATGTGTTGTGTAAACAGTTAAATTCAATCAGCACTGACAATAAAAGAGAGTCGCTTTTGATCAAAAAAAATCCTGGAATTTAGGGTTAGGTTAGCTGTACTACTAACCAGAGACAGTGCAACATTCTCTAGAAACTACCCACTCTCGTTTTATTTTTCACCAGTTATGACCATACATAAAATTTTCTCCACTCTCCCAAAATTCACAGCTGGAATCAGTAGTATTAGCTTTTGACTAAACTTTGTGGAAGGTTCCCAGATATGACCCAAGTAAAGTGGAATCTTTATTGTAGACAAAAATTAAGAATAATTCTGCTTCTTATCGTGTACTTTGCACTTCTGTACTCCAGAATTTTCTCCAATAACTAGCTGCCTGCCTGCCTGCCTGCCTGCCTGCCTGCCTGCCTGCCTGCCTGTCTATCTATCTATCTATCCATCCATCCATCCATCCATCCATCCATCTATCCATCTATCCATCTATCTCAAATTTCTACACCGCCCAACTTACCTAAGTGATTCTGGATGGTTTACAAACAAGATAATAATATAAAAACATGTCTAAAAGCACTATTAACAGCAAAATTAAAAATAATGTTAAAATTTACAAGTTAAAAGTAAGAATCAAAATTTAAAATTAACAAGGCTAAAAGATTAGCAAGGTGGAGGGAGTTCCCTCAAGGTAACAGCCATCCCTCTGATTATGACCATATTAATAAAATAAGAAGCAGAATTATTCTTTCTCCAGTGTGACTAAATATTGTACTAGCAACTGCTGATTCCTAACCAACGTGTTATGCTTTAAGACATGTAGAATATTTTCAGATGTTTTTCTCCCAAGGCAACTCTTCCCCATATTTATTATAAACCTTATATTGTTTTCTGGTATGTTTTGATTTTATATTCTAGCTTGTCAAGTCTTTTTGAATTTTCCTTATGATTGGTCACGTCTTCAGGTTTTGCATCATATGCAAGTATTGTTTTGTAATTTATACCTTCATCCATCCATCCAAATATGTAAAACTATATCCATAGCTATGCATAAGAAACTTCTTGGATAACTCTGATACTATGAAAAAAAGAAATAATTTGTATTTTTCCTTTTATAGTCATCTGATGATGAGGAGCGCTACTTATCTATCAGAGCAGATATGAACTGTTTCTCATGGTATATTTATCAAGAAGAACACAGGTAAAATACCTACACATTTGCACTTCTTTCTATTTATATATCTTCAACTATGGCTGCTGCTTTGAATCTAGAGTTCTGCAACTGTATTTCTTTTCTTTTTTTCCGTTTTTAAATGTTTTATTGTTAAGAAATTGTAATAATTCAGTTTTTTGTCCATCCGGTTACATGGTATAGGAAAAGGAAATAATTAAAAATACAAATGTATGTACATATAGATAATCTTTGCTACTCAATTACATGGTATATAAATGTATACTTATATCATTCTTAATGTATATATATATATATATAATGGGTCTTTAAAGGTAAATTAATAAATACATAAGTCATATCTTTTGCTTACCTATGTAACCTTTCCTTACCTCGTTATACTTTCTACCATCTACGGTACATCTTCTCTTTCTATTTCATTTAACTATTTCTTGTACTCACTCTAGTCTCTTTCATTTTTTTTATTTCATTTTCCTCTTCTCTAACCACCCGTACCACTTGTCCCACACGCTATAATAATCAGAATCTTCTCTGTCACTGATTTCTAGCTTTAATTTATTCATCTCGGCACATTCCATTATTTTACCGATTACTTGTTCCTTAGTTGGTATTTTTTTCTCTTTCCATTGTTGAGCAAAAGAGATTCTTGCTGCTGTTGTTATATGCACTGCTAGGTATTTCTTCTTTTTTGCCATTTCCGTCTTGAGAATTCCCAGGAGGAATATTTTAGGATCTAATTCAAAAGTTTCACCTATTATTTCTGAAAGCCAATTGCCAATCATCTTCCAATATTTTTTTGCTTGAGAACAGGTCCACCAGCAATGGTAAAAAGTGCCTTGCTGATGTCCGCACTTCCAACACTTTGGATTTAGGTTGGGATAAATCTTGGCAATCCTAGCTGGTGCTAGGTGCCACCTGTAGATCATCTTATACTGGTTCTCCTTGTAGGTGGTTGCCTTAGTGAGTCTTATATTGTTATTCCATATTTGATCCCATTCTTCCAAATTTATATTTTTCCCAATATTTTTGGCCCATGCTAACATTGGGTCTTTAACCACCACCTCCATCAGGTCATATTCTACCAAATAATTGTACAATTAGCTAGTAATTTATTGTCCGTACTCATCCAAATCTTATCAAAATCTTTGCTACCCATTTCTATACCATATTGTTCTTTATCTTTTTTGTATCTTGATTTTATCTGTGCGTATGTCCACCATTCTATATGAGTGCCTTGTTCTTTTAACTGTTCTATTGTTTTGAGGTTCCCTGCCTCGTCTAATATTTCTTTATATTTCACCGTTTTACCATGTTCCAGAACGTTTGGGTATATTATTGCCTCCATAGTTGAGAGCCAACTGGGAATTTTAGTATAGTGTTTTCGTCTTATTTCTTTCCAGGTTGACTTCAATATATCCCTCAATTTATGTTTATTAAAGTGTGTTTTTGTTTTTTTCCCTGTTTCCCATAGGTAGGCATGCCAGCCTTTCTGAAGATCATGCCCTTCTAACGTTAGAATTCTTTTGTTCGCCAAGGTCGCCCAATCTTTTAGCCAAACAAGAATTGCTGCTTTATGATAAGTTTCCCAAATAGGTAGTCCAAGCCCTCCTCTATTTTTTTTTATCTTGTAAACTCCTAATTGCTATTCTTGGCTTTTTTCCTCTCCAAATAAATTTCCTAATGGTGGCATTGAATTCTCTGAAAAATTTTTTATCTAATTTAATTGGCGCCGTTTGAAACAGATACAACAATTTGGGTATGACACTCATTTTAATTGTCGCTATCCTCCCTAAGAAGGAAATCTGGAGCTTCCCCCACTTCTCTAAGTCTTGTTTTATGCTTTTTACCAAAGGGACATAATTGTCCTCTTTGAGGGCCAAATATTTTGTTGAGATCCACACTCCCAGATATTTAACTTTCTTCACAATTTGTATTCCCATGGATTCCTCCAGGGCTTCTTTCTGATTTTTCGTCATATTTTTGGTGAACATTTTGGTTTTAGATTTGTTTAATTTGAGCCCCCCTACTTCTCCATACTTGTCAAGTACTTCCAATATTTGTATGCCTGTTTCCGCCAGTTCTTCCATAATTAAAACGACATCATCCGCGAACGCTTGGACTTTATATGTTTCCTTCCTGATTTTGAGCCCTTTAATTTGATCACTCTCTCTAATCTTCTTTAATAGCACTTCTAGTGCCAATATATACAGAAGTGGTGACATTGGGCATTCCTGTCTTACTCCTTTACTGATCTGAAATGTTTTAGTAAGTTCGCCGTTTACTAGGATGTTAGCCCTTTGCTTCTCATAAATCGTGTTTATTGTGTTTGCAAAATTTTGTCCAAATCCCATTATATTAATTTGTTGCTTTATAAACTCCCAATTCAGATTGTCGAAGGCCTTCTGGGCGTCTAAAAAAACTAATGCCACCTCTTTGTCCGGGTGTTCCTCATAATATTCTATCACATCCAAAATCATCCTTGTGTTATTCCTAATTTGCCTCCCTGGGAGGAATCCATTCTGGTCACTATGTATTATCTTATTGAGGATTCTTTTTAGTCTTTCCGCTAATATGCTCATGTATATTTTATAATCAATATTGAGAAGAGAAATTGGCCTATAATTCTGTATCAGTTTGGTGTCCGATCCTTCTTTTGGTAAGAGTGTAATATAGGCCTCTCTCCAAGATTCTGGTATTTTATTTTTCATTAAGGCCTCATTAAAAATTTCAAGCATTCTTGGAAGCAGAATGTCTTCTAATTCTAAATTTTTATATAATTCCCCTGGGAATCCGTCCGGGCCCGGAGATTTGTTCTTTTTCAATTTGGCAATTGCTGTCTTTAACTCTGTTAATGTAATCTCTTTATTCAACATCTCTTTTTCCTCCTCTCCGATCTGTGGCATTCCCTCCTCCAATAGATATTGTTTTACTTTCTCTTTGGGAATATCTTCTTCTTTATATAAAGACGCATAGTATTCGCGTGCTATTTCCAGTTTTTCTTCCTCCTTGGTTACAATGTGGCCTTCCGGGTCCTCTAATTGGAAAATAATTCCTTTCTCTCTCTCTTTTTTAATTCTGTAGGATAGCCACCTGCCTGGCTTATTGGCGTTCTCAAAATAATATTGTTTTGTTCTCTTAATTTCATATGCTAATTTTTCTTGATCCATTATATTTAATTTATGACGGATGGTCATCCAATTTTCTTTTATTGTTTCGTTGTCAGGGTTTTGTTGTGCCTCTTTCTCTGCCTTTGCCAGTTCTTCTAGCGATGTTCTTTGAGCTTCTCTCCTCTCTTTATTTCTGTATGCTACATATGCTATCATTAGGCCTCTTAAATAGGCCTTCATTGTATCCCAGATTATTCCCCGGTCCATTGGTTCTTTTTCATTTTCTTCGAAAAAAATTGTTAGCTCCCCCCTAACTTTGTCAATATTTTTTTTGTCTCGTAGGAATTGTGTATTCATTCTCCATCTCGTATTCTTTCTCTTGTATCTACTCTTCCATCTAATTTCCAGTGGATTATGGTCTGCCCAGGTGTTGGGTAAGATCTCTGCTGATACAATGTCCATTCCCATATTCCTGCTCACCCACATCATATCTATTCTAGACCATGATTTATTAGGATTAGAATAGAAAGTGTACTGTCTTTTATTGGGGTGTAATGTTCGCCAGATGTCTACGAGATTTAGTTCATCCACTAAGTCGAAGAAGGTTTTTGGTAGATTTTTCCTTTTTTTCTTTTGGCCTCTGGGTCTTTTATGATCTTTATTTGCGTCAACCACTCCATTAAAGTCCCCAATGATGCAAATATTATTATTATCCATTCTCCTTATTATTTCTCGCGTTTTATTATAAAACTCTTTCAAATTTTTATTTGGGGCATAGATCGCTGCTATTAATATTGAAGAGTTGCCTCTCTCGATTTCAACAATTAGTAGTCTACCTTTTGGGTCTGCATATTTCAATTCTGTCTTTATCTCTTTTTTGATATATAGTGCCACCCCTCTCTTTTTCTTCATGGCTAAGGAGGTATAAAGATTCTCCAATTTTTTATATTCCAAATATTTTTTGTCTTCTTGTTTAATGTGTACCTTCTGGAGACAGACTATGTCTACATTTTGTGTGACTAATTTGTTAAAGAAAGTTTTTCTTTTTTTATAATCGTTAAGTCCATTTACATTGATCGATAGGATTTTCCAATCGTCCATCCTTTTTGCCTTGTGTTGATTTACTTGAATTTAAGGTTGGTGTTTGCTCGAACTGCTCTTTGTGGTCTTTGTTTCTTCCCTGCTTCTCTGCTTTCTTTCTCTTCCTTCTCTTTCTCCTCTAAACTCTCTTTCCCCTCCGGGGTCCCTTCTTTGGATCTTCTTTGGGTGAGTTCCTCTTCTGTGGTAACAGCTTCCAATTCCTCTTTGCTACTCTGTTCATCTTCTGACCCTCTCAGTTGTTCAAGGAATTCTTGAGCCTCCACCAGACTGTTTATTTTAATTTTCCTCCCTTGCCATGTAATCAGCATACCCTCTGGCAAGGTCCATCTGAAGAGTATATTCCTTTTATTCAGCTGTATGGCGAGGAATCTATAGTCTCTTTGTTGTTCTCTCACCCTCCTCGGCACTTGCTTCAGGACGACCACCTCCCTTTCCTTATAGTTGATTGGTTCTTCCTTTACCATTTTATAAAAGATGTCTTTAACTTTCTTCCATGCGAACCTTATGTGTACCTCTCTGGGTAGTTTGTTCCATCTAGCGTAGTTCGTCTGTACCCTGTACACCTCATCCAATTCTTTTATTATGTCGTCTGTATCCTGTTGAAGAACCTCTGCTATTAATTCTGCCATTACTTGGCCCAGATTTTCGTCCTTATCTTCTGTAATGTTTTGGAAACGCAGATAGAAAGAAGCTCTATCCATTTCCAGCTGCGTAATCGAATCTTCCAGATCCCTATTCTGGGCCATTAATTTTTGATCTACTGTCTCTAGGTTCTTCTCTTGTTGTTCAATCTTAGATTCC